CTGCGGGAGCGGGCAAACGGCCGAGGCGGAGGAGGAGGGGGGCACGATTTCCTCGACGTTTCCTTTTTTTTCACCACCGTGCAGCCGTGAAAGGAGGGGAGGGGGGAGGGGGGGAACAGACGATGAAGGAAGAAAAAGAGGGGATTTTCTTCCCCTCCCTAACGCGGTGGGGGAGGGGTCGGATTGGGTTTCAAGTCGAAATGGTCAAGGGGAGAGGGGCCGCGCGACGGGAGGCGGTGGGGTTTCCCGCGTGAACGAAGAATCCAGTGTTGGGATGCCACCGAAGGAAGAGCCCACAACGAGGTGGGCTCACGGGAACGGCAGACTTTCCCTGGATTCACGGCGACTTCATTACCTAACCGACCAGGTGTGCATAAATAAATACTTAATGAAATATCTATATATGTATCGATCGATCTATACATATATAGATATTTAGTTTATATATATATATATATATATATATATATATATATGTGTGTGTGTGTGTGTTCTATATAGTCTCATTACTCTTTTCATACTTTATTTAAAATGCAGCTGTGTGGAAGGGGTAGGAAAACCGATGGATATACGGGTATATTTATTTAGTTATAATGTCGTCTATATGAGTGAAGTACAGTGTGTAGAGTAAGCAGAATTGAAGTTAACGGTAAATGCTTCTCACTACTCAGAGTATTTCGTGATACAAGAAGTTTTTAATAATTGTACCCAATCTTAAATGACCTCAGACAAACGAAGAAAAAAAATACTTTTCAAATCAATAAATTGTTTGTGAGGTTTACCACATCATTAGCTGCAAATTTGTTCAAGATGATTGTCATCAAAGCGTAGATGTGGGCATTCATTTAACTAAAATATGCATTAGAAGTGATATAAGAATGCTAATAATAAACAAAATACAATAACATACATATAAAAAGAAGAAAGTGGTATCTTGATTCCTACGATAACAACTCTACGGCATTGAAAAGAGCAATGAGTGACTTAATATGGTAAATAAATAAAAAAGGAAGCTCATAGTTCCTATCAGAGGGAATCGAAAATTATTTGCATTGACAACTCATCTGTGGTTCGATTGTTTCACATTTTCAATGCTTTCCTTTGATTGTGTGTGATACTCTGTAAAGGATATCTAGCTGTTATTATCATTTGAGTGTAATTTTTTTGTTCAATAAATAATGCATTGGTAAGCAACCACGCTAAATAATATATATACATATTTATATATATTCATTTATATACAGATATTTATAGATATATTATTATTGCTATAGGTCGCAAACGTTTAAAAAATAATATTTACCAACTTCCTAACTTCAACCCTTTTACGGACGGGAAAAGTGCACGCTACCTTTTTTTGGTTCAATACTCATAGGTCTTTTTCGTGTTTACGCTATATCTAAGAAAATGTATATATACAAACTATGAGGGTGTTTCTTTTTATACGCGTATCCGTTTCTCCTGTGAGCAGAAAAGTAAGAACACTAAATTTTTTCCACCTATAGAATTTTACTCAGAGCATTTTTGCATGAATTCTTTGTTATTCATTTTCGTATGAATGATTTTCGGTTCTCTAAGGGTATCTATTCATTGATTTATTTATTCAACTCTTTCAGATCAGGAGATTTTAAAACGGATGACGGGGAGGACGATGTTAGCTGTACGTGGTTTTTGTTTCTTCCACTCACCTACTGCACACTGTATGTACCATCTGTTCTCTCCCTCTCATTCAGTAAGGTTGTAGGTAAAGATCTTTATAGCTCGAAGCGAAGGATCAAACTATACTTTCAAAGACAAAGACCATAGGCGGGACCGTCTTGCTTTCTCGTGAGGTAGATTTCAACCAAATATACGTTGGTTTGTCGGATTTATCCTTAACCGGGTAGTTTCCGGAAATTCTAACCACCTTCTGCGCGGAAAGGGCACGGTAGGGAACCCCAACGCACACACGCTACGTCAGGTGTTGGGTGCGAAGCCAATTTTTCTATTAGAGCCGCACGTGTGAAAAGCAGTGCGTGATCAAGTAGTGCAACGAAAGGATGGAGGACGAAGATGATATTCTCGAGCTCAACCTGGGCTCGGCGGCGCCGCCCGGCAGCTTCGGCGGCGGCAACGCGGACGACCGCGAGCTCGGCTGGTTTGCCTTGGAGGCGGCCGTCAACGCCGCGCAGGATGAGCAGCAGCGGCAGGCCCTGAGAGCCTCAGAGGCCCCCAGTGAAGGCGAGGGGAGCGACGGCGAAGAAGAGGGAGAGGGAGAGGCAGCTGAAGGGGAACGGCGAGCTCCTGAGGGCCTCACCCACGCCCCCGGAACCGACGAGCTCACCGACGAGCAGCTCGCCCTCATCGACAACAAAAAAGACGCCAAGGCGCGTGGCAAGGCCCTCTACAAGCGCTGGAAGGCCCTCCATGGACGGAGCAGCAAGAAACACAAGCACGGCGACGCCAAGACCTCCCATCGCTCCAAGAAAAAGAGCAAACGAAAGGCCGACGACGACGACGACGACGGCGCGCCGCGAAAGCGCCGACGCACGAAGACGCCCCGCGATCCCCCCGCCGACGACGCGGCGGCTGGCGAACCGCCTCGGATTAGCGGGGAGGAAAAAAGCGGCGGT